TCGAATTGAAATTAGACTCTAGCACAATGTTTGAATGGCAGAAGCATAGTCAAGAATCCACTGATATTCCGCACTACAACAAGTTGTTAGAATTCATCAATCTTCGTGCGCAAGCCTCCGAATCTCTATCTGTGCCTCGTAAAGGATCCACACCTTCCAATGCACCCTCCAACAGGAAACCGTCTCTCTCGCACAAACCCGTTACCTCATTCGCGGCAAATGCCTCAGGCCCCTCTCACAATTGTGTTGTATGCAAGACGGAGAAACATCCTCTTTACGCTTGTCAGCAGTTCAGGCTTTTGCCACACGAAAAAAAATTTGAAACGTTGAAGATGAATGGGTTTTGCATGAATTGTCTCAAACCTGGGCACTTCGTAAAACAATGCAAATCCTTGCATCATTGTAAGTTGTGCCAAAAACCTCACCACACGCTGCTCCACATCGAAAATCCCCATACTTCGACCACACCCTCACCTGGCCTGACTACCACTCCCAATCCTAACCCCAAGACTCCTCACGTTTCTGCAAATGCAATTGCTAGTCTGGCCACTAATTCACTGCTAATGACCTGTAGAATTATGGTTGAGGCTCCGGATGGTTCCACAGTGAATGCCAGAGCGTTGCTCGACTCTGCCTCTTCGGCTTCATTTGTGTCAGAGCGATTGGTCAAGAGTCTCTGCCTTCCTAGTCTACACCAGACTACCACAATCTGTGGGGTTGCAGGTCTAACTCGTAATTCTCTTCAATCTCTCACCCATCTCACCATCTCATCTCCTCGAACTAATTGCAAGTTCAACATCACAGCCATTGTGGTTCCTCGGGTGACTTGTGACCTACCGGTTCACCCTGTCTCGTTTGGTCCCACGTGGACCCATCTAAATGACATTCCTCTCGCTGATCCACACTTTGGCACTCCAGGGGGAATCGACATTCTTCTCGGTGTTGATGTCTTCACGTCGTCGTCGTTGCACGGCCGGCGGATTGGACCTCCCGGTACTCCCGCTGCTTTTGAAACCGTGTTTGGATGGGTGCTAGCTGGTCCAACTACTGAGCCCACTCCAGGGTCGTTCATCACCTCACATCACACCCTGATTGCAACCGGTGACGACCTTCTACGACAATTCTGGGAAATAGAGGAGAGCACGAAGCATGAAACCAATCTATCCCCAGAAGAAAGGTCTGTTGTGCAGCACTTCGACAAATCCCATTATCGTGCAGCTGATGGCAGATTCGTTGTACCACTACCAAAGAAACCTCATGCTCCGACATTGGGTGAGTCAAGATCACATGCCGTTCGGAGATTCTTATCGCTTGAACGATCTCTGCATGCCAAGGGTGAATTCCAGGCCTTTGATGCAGTAATGCAAGAGTATTTTGAATTGAAACACGCTGAACCTGTACCTACTGCAGATCTCGACAAACCCCAACACAGTGTGTTCTATCTTCCTATGCATGCTGTAAAGAAGGAATCAAGCACCACTACCAAGATCAGAGCTGTCTTCGATGCTTCCGCCAAATCCTCCTCCAACGTTTCTCTCAACGACATTTTGCTAGTTGGTCCTACCGTTCATTCTTCTTTGATTGATGTTCTGCTTCGATTCAGACTTCACCGTATTGCTCTGACAGCCGACGTAAGCAAAATGTATCGGGCCATTGAACTTATCGAATCCGATCGAGATTTGCATCGATTTGTGTGGCGAAGCAATGAAGATGAACTTCTCAAGGACTATCGCATGACTCGTCTAACTTTCGGTGTGTCTGCCTCATCCTTTGCTGCCAATATGTCAGTGAAACGTAATGCGTCAGATCATGCTCTAGAATTCCCGAAAGCTACCGACGCGGTTGAAAGTGCATTCTACGTCGACGATTGCCTTGCGGGTGCTGACTCAATCGACGAAGCCATTGATCTGCACCATCAACTTCTCAATCTGTTTACCAAAGGTGGCTTCCTACTACGCAAATGGAGTTCCAGTGACCCTGCTGTGCTGCGTCACATATCTCCAGAACTTCGGGATGCTCAGTCGACGCATCACATACCTAGCCCCGAAGAGTACACAAAAACTCTCGGCATAGAATGGAACGCCAACCTGGATCACTTTCGTCTAACAGTCGCCTCATTACAAGACATCGACAATGTCACCAAACGGGCCTTGATCTCCGACATAGCCAAGACCTTTGACGCACTTGGCTGGTTCTCACCTACCATCATCAAAGCCAAGATCATGTTGCAACGACTGTGGGAATCAAGGATCGGATGGGACGATTTGTTGCCCCCTGCCATCTACCAGTCGTGGCTCCGATGGAGATCCGAACTACCTCTGCTGTCCGAAAGACACATTTCACGTTGTTACTACTCCAAGGATGCCACTGTCGACTCCATGCAACTTCATGGATTTTGTGACGCCTCAGAAGACGCATATGCGGGTGTCGTGTACATTCGTGTCCAAGATGGAGGTGGGAACGTACACATCTCGTTGGTCGTCTCAAAGACCAAAGTAGCTCCTATCAAACGGTTGACGATACCACGACTCGAACTCTGCGGCGCTCAGCTACTTGCAAAGCTCCTACACCACACCATGCAAGCCTTGGACATCCCAACTCAGAGTGTCTACGCGTGGACCGACAGTACGATAGTCCTCAGCTGGCTGATTGGGAACCCGCGCAGATTCAAGACCTTTGTTGGCAATCGTGTATCGAACATCGTGCAACTCGTTCCACCTGACCGCTGGAGTCACGTCGACAGTCCTGACAATCCAGCCGACTGTGCTTCTCGAGGCCTGTTCCCTTCAGAACTGGTCCAACATGAATTGTGGTGGAACTCTCCCAATTGGTTGAAACTAAACTCCACCCATTGGCCAACTTGGTCACCCACTACGTCGTCAGAATCGCCTGGTGAAGAAGAAAGGGATATTTGTCTGCATGCAGTGATCAACAAGCCGATCATTCCCTTGGACCAATCCTCCTCGTTCCTACACCTGAAACGTGTTACGGCATGGATTCTACGATTCATCAACAATTGTTGTCACAAGAAACAAGACAAGTCCTCTTACCTGTCGACTGCGGAGCTGATTGAAGCAGAAACCTATTGGCTCTTACTTACACAACAACAAGCCTTTCCTGAGGAGATCGATGCTCTGAAACGTGGCGATCCACTGTCCAACTCCAGCCCTTTATTCTCTCTACATCCCTTCGTTGACTCCTCGTGGTTACTCCGTGTTGGTGGTCGGGGACGGAATACGGAGATGTCGTACTCAGTCATTCACCCGATCATACTCCCTGGGAGACATCCAATAACTTCACTAATCGTTTCATCGGAACATCGACGACTGATGCACGCTGGACCCACACTACTCGCAGCGTCACTCAACCGACGATACTACATCACCGGCTGCAGGAAGATTGTGCGTTCAATCACCCGTGGTTGCATAACTTGCCGACGCACTACGGCCAAACCCAAGCCTCAAGTTCTCGGACAGTTACCCGTTGAACGCGTTACTCCTGATTCCGTGTTTGACCGTGTCGGACTCGACTATGCAGGACCATTCACCATAAAGTATGGATCTACCCGCAAACCCACTCTTGTCAAAGCTTATGTGTGTATTTTCGTCTCACTCACCATCACTTGGAGCTGGTATCAGACCTCACGACTGATGCATTCATTGCCGCTCTACGCAGATTCATTGCCCGACGAGGCAAGCCTTCGCTCATATGGAGTGATCATGGCACAAATTTCGTTGGCGCAGTGCGTGAGCTGAAGGAGTTCATCGCATTCTTCCAAAACCAGAGAACACAAGGCCTCATCTCAGAGTTTTGTGCCATCCAGAGCATCACTTGGAAATTCATTCCTGAGCGTACTCCCCATTTCGGTGGATTGTGGGAAGCGGCGGTGAAGAGCATGAAAACGCACCTGAAGAGAGTAGTTGGGGAAACCAAGCTGACCTTTGAAGAGTTCGCTACAATTCTCGCACAAATTGAAGCCTGCCTGAACAGCCGACCTTTGGTACCTCTTCCCTGTGAGGGTGATGTCATCGAACCTCTGACTCCTGGCCATTTTCTCATCGGAAGACCTCTCGAAGCCCTTCCCGATCCATTTGCATCTTACCAATCAATTTCTCTTCTGCGACAATGGCATCTTTGCCAACACATCACTCGCCATTTCTGGAAGAGGTGGTGTACAGAGTACATCAATATCATCCGTAGGTACGTGAAGTGGCACCACCCGTCGCGAAACATGCAAGTTGGAGATCTCATGCTTTTACAAGAGGACAATCTCGTACCAACAAAGTGGCCCCTGGGACGAATTGTTGAAACACACCCAGGAAAAGACGGATTTGTACGCGTTGTGACTGTCCAAACGAGTAATGGAACTTACAAGCGTCCAATAACCAAGATTGCGTTGCTACTCCCTAATGAAAACTGAACTCTTATTGTTCATCATCTCCCACTAACTCTCATTCTTTGTTATTTCTCACGAACACTATTACTGATTGTATTTGCATCTCACTTCTCACATTGTCATTTGAAGACCATCCGGTCTTGGCCGGCGGTATGTTCAATCTTTGTATCACGCAATACGCATTTCAATTTTTCTGTAATACGCAAAATTAGAGAGAGCAAGAAATGTCAGTCAATATGGCGTGCGAAACTAGCGCTGGCTCCCTGACTCGAAATCCGCTCGCATCCGGGATGGAACTCTAACAGGTAGATTCCACTGATGTTCAGTTTTGTAGATCGCATGCAAGAAGCAAGCCTTCTCCAGTACCAGAGAAATTTGATCATCTCGCTGCTATCTTGATACAAGAGGAGCTGGTCCATGTCTTCAAATTGCCATCAGTGTCTGGTTCTCTGGTTCTCTATCTAAACCTCAAAAACTCAATACTTTGTTAACCATGTATGTACAAAGTATGTGAGTGTCAATCGATAAAATAAGTGAAGGTACGAATGAGATGAGTTATGAAGATAAAGATCAGAATGAAATATCGCACAACATTCCCAAGACTGTGGTTGTGCTTGCTCTGCATTCAACAGGGTACAGGCACACTTCCACAACCTTCTGTATGTTTTGAGACAGATGATCAAATTTAGGCATCTGATTTAAAGTGGCAACTTTTGTAAATGATGGTGTGGCTGGTATGCTGTTCCTGCCATACTGGCCTCATGCCAAAAGGTTCTGTCCACACAGCACCTAGTGCATAAATATCGCATGTAACATCCGGTTTCTCTCCCTGAAGTTGCTCAGGTGATTGAAATCCAGGTGTCCCAGACTGCATAGTAGATAGTCCGAATATGCGTGTTCCAGTACAACCTTGCCAAGGCCATGTAGTGTACCATCTTCAACCTTACCAAAGTTAGCTACACAATTAATAATTCCATTACTAACCCTGGTTTCAAATCCAAATGAGCAATCGGGGGGATTAGCTGAGTGCATGAACACCAACCCTTGGCAGATCTGTACACTTATCCGTAACTTATCACTGTTGCATAAGTCAAAAAAATTTTTCCCTTAGTTTATGTAGTATGAATACCTGTTTGACACCACTGTCGCCAAAAATAAGTGAATGTAGTGTGTGTTTCCACGAACATAATTAGTAATGAGCATTGTAGAATGTGGCCTTGTCAGGGTACCCAGTAGGCTTAGTAAATTTGGATGATTTAGCGACCTAGAGTGAGAATAAGAATAACAAAAAAACCAGTTAGCATTCATAACTATAAACTGAGAGCTATTATCCAAGGTCTTCGTATTTCCAGTCACACATATCTCCTTGGCAGCAACTACCACCTACCCCCCCCCCCCCGCCAAATGGCTTTGTAGACATGCCCAAACGATCCCTGTCCAATTTCTTTAATTCTTGAAGCGCTGCATATAGGATCACAAAATCATTGAAAGTAAATGGTGTCTAACAGCATACCCTTGGAATCAGTTACAGCACTTTTGATAGCCTTCATCTATGACAGGAGTTTGACTGTGTGTCGGTCGTGGCAGGGTTGGTATGGAATCTGACACATATACACACTCCCTGTAATTATGAATCAAACAATAGATTTTACGTCTCATTGATGGCTTCTTCACCTCATTTGTTCTAGTTCACCTTCTAAACAGGTAATGCCTATTAAGATGTATATAGCATGCCTTACCGCCACAATTACAATCGGGACCCTTGAAGGAAAAGTTGAACCAGAGACCTTGATGTAGTTTGAAAGGGTCCAAGGCAACAGCATTTCTTCACCATCTCTCAATGAGACAGGAAAGCTTTCACTACCAATTCTACTTCCAGAACAATCTGCAAGGTAGCATTCATCCTCTGGAGCATCCTTCCATACCTGCAATGAAGTGTAAAGTGTAATATTATGCTAAATCAACAAAATAGTTTAGGAAACACAGACATGCTGAATACATTTTGTCAGTATTTTGATCATGACCACTGTCCTTGTGAAGTGGAATTAGCCCACGTCAGACTCTGCGCGAGCTGGCAACAGACCACGAGTAACAGACCACGAGTAACGGCTAAAACTAAACCCAGCCCATCAATTAGTGGTACGGCGCATGCGTTTACTTACGCGTGCACGTCACAGCACAGTGCGCCGAGGGTTTGCACTTCAGTGCTTTTCATTATTTGTATGATTACTGACAGTAAGATCAAAGGAATTCCAGCTAGTCCAAGCACTATGCGTAGTGAGCGCTTCCTGCTCAGTCTACGGGTAGTTAGAACATGAAGAGGCCATACAATTTCCCCATACTTTAGCTGTAAGGCAAAAACCACAGTGGGTCTACAGGAGTTAGGAAATTGGCAGCGTGGAGTGCAATTACACTCTTTGTGTGCTGCTGTTTCTTTACCAGAAGGGAGTGTTTCTGCTCTAGTATATACACGGTCTGAAAACTAGCGAAAGCTGCTTCCTGACGCGTAGGCTCCTGTGGACTGGAACAGTATTTGGTGACTTTCATATTTCTTGCTACTGCAACAGGCTGCATTCGAGTGTGCTGGGTATAGCAGGAGAGAAAGCGAGCCAGAACAAAACTCGTGTGGAGTCTAGCAGCGAAAAGTATAGCTTTGATGTACCTGTAACGTTGAACTCTCGAGAAATGACCATGGCTTCTGCACAACCGCCCAACTTGACTAAATTAAAGCGCTTATTGCAGCTGTCTCTCTCCCGATCGATTGCTAGCTCTTTCCCCGTCCCCCGTACACTCGATGGTGTGTGTTAAAAAGAGGGCGTTTTGAAAGCTTTTTCGCAATCCCATTGGTCAGAGCCTTACCGCCGGATGTCATCATACAAACACGTTATACGATGGCATTGGCTTGTGGTCTACTGATTGCACACTCGTGGCTTCAGTTTTGATAGACCACTCGGGCTACGCCCTCGTGCCCTATCAAAACTGCCCACTCGTGTACAACCAGTAGACCACACGCCGCCATCGTATAACCTATACGTATACATGCATACTCCCTACTAACATAACCTGCCATCAGAACTTTGCAGAAAATCCCGGTATCAACTGAACTCTACTGGGACTACCATGTATCCTCTAGTTGGGTAAACTGGTGAAGTATTGTATTATTGTCATCTACATACCTCTGTACAGGACTTGTGTAAACTGTGTAATGTTACAGATGTGCAGGAGTAGCCACAGTACAACAATGTGTGTAAGTACAGGTCCAATCTGGCAGGGGAATTACCAGCCTGAGGTGGGAAATCCAAGTTCTTAACTTCCATGTGGCACTGGAACTACCACTATGTTAAGTAAGGGCTTATGCTTGTAACCTGAGGTAAAGTTTTTGGGAAAGAATTTGCGTTGGAGTGAAATGTCCGTTCATCTTGCACACTGGATCGTCTGGGAGCGTTATGTCCAGAAAGACTGCAGTGCTGTACGGCATCACATGATATATGTTATATACCCAATTACATCACAAATGTGTGTAGGATGAAACCACTGGTGGGAAAGTTCACTTACAATGGAGGTTACATGGATGACGCAACTATTACGGTGAGATTCATTCATACCACCGCAACAACAGACATTACGGTGAGTAGCAATTCAGTTTTGTGTAACGAGTTTGGCTTGTAGACTCTTTCCTTTAATGTAGGGGAAAGCTTTGGTGTGGTTTCAAACAGCAGGACAACAACCATTGCAGTGAGTATAGTCTCTCTGTCAGTTGCGAGGGAAAGCTGCATCTATATTTGAAAGTCAGCAGAAGGATTACTGTACCTCTCTATATTCCATGGATTCCCCTACTCTGCTGCACACATGCTCTCGTTAGGTCAACACAATGTGCTGATTATACCTTCACTCCACAGTGGATTGTAGTAGTTCTACTTCGTTGGATGTGACATACAACAAACTCTCGCAAAAGTTTAAAGTTCACATACACAATGTACATTGCACTCAACTGGTGTGGCTACGTTGCTCAAAAGTTCTAAGGCTACTGCAACTGTACAATTATGGTATGTAAATACTAAATAATTATGCTTAGGCTCATATACAGTCTCTCTGTCAGTTGCGAGGGAAAGCTGCATCTATATTTGAAAGGATTACTGTACCTCTCTATATTCCACGGATTTCCTCCTACTCTGCTGCACACATGCTCTAGATTGATACAAAATCAACACAACACTGCTGTTTTGACTGCAGTAAGTATTTAGATCTCATCTACTGTCCATGAAGCCTTTTCTCAACTTCTTATGTACTATATTTTGTGAGCCAGCTGCTCATAAAAAGAAAAGGTCAGGGGTCAAAGCTTTAGTCTTCAAAATGGCCCGCTTTACGCAGCGAAAACACACGTATTTACCGTTGGTACTGTCCCAGCATCACTTCTCTCTCGATCTGCATCTGCAACAAGTCTCTGTGCCAGCTATAAGGCAACAAACTCCAGAGAGAACCACACGAAGCGTCTTCTCCACTACACGCAGAAAAACTGCCGACCGTGCAATAAATTTCGCGCATGCGCGCGTCGTCCGCTAAGAGACGTTCACCCTGCACGGGTGTTTACGTGGACATTTAGAATTACGCGGCATGCGGGTGCTCATCACGTGAACATAGCAACGCGAGACCAATAAATACCTTACGTTACCAAGTACTTTTTTCACGCACGAGACGCAGTCTCCTCTAGCTTCAAACCACACAGGATCAATGTCTCATCCCTCGAGATACTCTTACATGCACCGCGCTTGCAGCTGCGCGTTGAGAGCGGTACTGCGCAGGGTAAACATAACCGCGATTCAAGAACTTACACGTACAACGGCCAGCTTCGAAGCCCTCCTGCCGCTCGCCGGACCTTTTCTTCGTCGTTTCTCCTTGGATTATTGTTCGCAGCACTCCTATACTACCGTTTGACATATTCGCCGAAGTGCCAAGTTTTTTCTGACGGGTACGAAGCGGTTTTGTGGGGGTGTAAACGGACACGCCGCCGGCGGCCGTAATCATCACTGCTGCGCCACCGGTGCACCATCTGCGCAGCTCTGCCAACGGTATAAACAATAACATATAACATAGAAACGCATCAGAATAACAGTTACACAAACACTATGAGTCTCAGCAAGCTCAGCCTCCCGAATTACATCAACATCAGTTGAAGCGGTGCTGCCGCATATGTGGGAACTTTACACAGAAGTCTAAGGGGAGAAGGAGCTGTTCCTATGAATGTAGAGGAAAAGAAACACTGCATACAGAGTTAACATCAGAGAAGACAAGAAGGGTGTACATCCAGAGTACATTTGTAACACGTGCCATACAAAAATGAGGCAGTACAGTGAAAATCCACACGTTCAGCGTTCACTCTCTGTCTTTCAGTGGACTCCACACACTGAGCCAGACTGTTCAATGTGTAGTCACTTTAGTGGCTTTGAGTCCAGAGGACGTCTTCCTAAAGCAACTAAGAAAAGGGGGAGACCAAGGAAAGGGACATTGGCTCAACAGCTCCATGAGACTGGACATCGAAGTTGGGGAGACTGCATGCCACTCTCCCCATCCAGATTTTTACCACCAGCTCAGAACATAGCACTCACTGATCTCCTGTGCAAAAAGTGCATGTGTGTCGCAGACAGGCCTGTCACAACTCCCTGTGACAGGTTGTTTTGTTACACCTGCATCATGAACTCAGAGGACGGCACCTACGCCTGTTGTGAAGAACAACATGACACAGGCCCAAAATCAGCTTCATCGTTGGTCACACAAATTATTGCAGTGTATGCAACACGACCACCCAGCTCCATAACATAAAGGAGCACCTGGATACTGGGTGTAAGGTAGTGTCTTACCCATCTCCATCCAAACTGACAGTTGGACAGCTCCTAACTCAGTCTACTGACACACCACCAACACACACAGAGAAAAGGCTAGCCACCTCAGTAGTGAAGCGCATACTGAACACCGAAGCAGGTTCTTCCTCTTCCACTGTATTGACACTTCCTACAGCAGGGCAGGTAAGATAATTATACCCTCAAACACACATGAATAGACAACAACAATACTGTATTCTTTAGCCCATTAGCTTTGTACGGGTAACAAGGCCGAGAGTAGCAACCACTGACGTGACTCCGAAAACAAAGCGCCGCCGGAGTCATCAGCTTGCAGATGTCCGGCAGGTTATCAGCGGTGGTGTGGATGCAGCGCAAGTTCAACTTCAGGACGAGCTGACGAAGGAAGGAAGAGGAGAATTATTACAGAAATCAGAATTTGCTCAGCCAATTACCACACAAGACTCACTAGCAATGAAAGCAAGTCTACGGTTACCTTGGAAAAAACTACGAGTTATGAAAAGGTATTTTTGTGCTGCACATAGTTATACTACACTAGATATAAGAATGGATTTTACAGATGGTTCAAAGCGCACGGAGTGGCACTCCCAGTGAAAGAAAGCAGCGAAAACTCTCCCATGAGCTATTGGGGACAACTTGGAGTCAGAGTCAACCCCTTTCAGCTTCCCAATGAGGCATGGGGGTGAAGACCTAAGACCTGCACCACATGTCTTTGTGCCAAATTTGCCGGCACACATTCAGCTTTTACTGGAGCAAAACGAGAGGTTCAATAAGGCCCAATCCATGTATGGTTTATATATAACTTACACACAGTGCTGGCAAACTCACATGGCATGAGCCGATAATACCGGAAGACGAAGTTTGGGTGAAACTTGGTGGCGACAAAGGAGGGAAGAGTTTTAAGATGTCGATACAGATTGTTAATACTCCCCATCCCAACTCAATCAGCAACACTTCAGTCTTTTCGGTGTTTGAGGCCCATGATTCCTCTACCAATCTCCACACGGCATTAGACCGATACACAGACCAGGTAGCCACTCTTAAGGATCTCTCCTGGAGGTACGAAAAACAAGATGTACACAAACTACATAATCTATATAATACTTTCAGAGGAAAGAAATTCCGAGTGTTCATAGTTGGTGACTATGATTTTCTTGGGAAAGCCTATGGCATATCAGGAGCAAGTGGTAAAGTTACTTTGCAAAGAATGTTCTTTATAAACATACATGCATGTGTACACTGACAGGCCGTCATTGCTGTTTGTACTGTGAAATCACTCACCAAGTTCTGCAGAAACCCCCTCGCTGATCGTGGTCTGTCACAGCCGAGGACTCTAGATTCCCTTCAGAGAGATCACCTCCAGTTTTGTACAAAAGGAAAGGGAAACCTCAAGAATGCAAAGTTCAACAATAATGTGATTGGGAAGGCACTATTTCACATTCCCTTAACTCAGGTCAGTGTTAAATGGAATTATGTCGAAAACCACTCACCACACACAAAATTGCAGGTAGTCCTACCTGGGTTACACATTTCCTTGGGAATATTTCTCAAATTGTGGCAGTTAATGGAGCGCGAGTGCCACAAGCTTGATCTTCAGCTAGCGCAAGAAACCAGGGGTGTGGACGGTGACAGGGCAAGGTTTCTTAACTACTCCTCACTGATCCATGAGATCTCTGAACTGGAAGACAGGAAGGTTCAGGAGGAACAGTACGCACGCACACTTGATAGTGCTTGTACATCCATTGCTCTTCAACTTGGAGATGGGGCAGAGCAAAATGCACTCCTCCTTGAGCTTCGTCGTGAAGCAGTTCGTGCGCAGGACTCTGTGGAAACAACAGTTAGTTGTATCAAATGCACACATCTTTTACGCACGTTGCATATTATACACAGGAGAAGAAGATTAGTGACTTGAAGAGAGCTAGTAGCGAGGAATTCGACATTGACGAAGGCCCATTCTGCCGTGCTCTCGATACTGCACTTGGAACATTCAAGGTGTATCGAGAGGCCTACTTCGGAGGTACTTTTACCGGCAATCATGCCCACAAATGCCTTCAGGTTAGGAATAGATGCTCAAACATGCTTTAAAACTGCAATGCAATGTACTTTAGGAAATGAATATAACAACACTCTGTCTAGCCATTACGACAGTGGCAGATGAGCGATGCCAGTCACTACTGGACCAAGCTCGGGAAACAGAAAATAAGTTCAAAACAGCTTTAACCCTTTTTTCCCAATGTCACACAGTCTACAACAGCCAAACATACCTCACTGATGATGACCTGAGACACGTAGGTATGTACATCAGTCCGGCAGACTATGAAACGTTAAGATGGTATTAATTAATACAGATTTGAAGATAAAAGAGTTTCTGGGATTTTTCCGGAAAACCTTTCCAGATGTCTCAATCACACCAAAGCTTCATTTACTTGAAGATCATGTTGTCAAGTTTTGGCAGTTGTGGCGGGTAGGTTTCGGCATGTTAGGGGAACAAGGTGCCGAAAGCACCACACGGTATACAACCAGCTCAACCGGGTGTATGCCAACATCCACAGTGGTGAAGACAGACTACGCCAAGTAACCATTGAACACCATCGTAAATCCTGTCCCCTGTTGCAACTGAACTCTGCTTCTGTTTCTGAAGAATAACTGTTTACCGCCAACTTCTATACGTTTGGAATTGGAGTATAACAAGCGTCGCACGCACACATCTGTACATACTTACAACCACGCTTTCCTAGTGCCTTAAAAAAAAACTTGGCACGACCAATGGGGTAGGAAACGATACGTTAGGGCTCTGGCTTACGCGTGTTACTGGATCACGAAAAAGTCCTCGTTTTAGAATCCAGGCCCTTGCACTCAGACCCCTTCATTGACCGTACCTGTCTTGTCCGACGGCGCGGGTCAGCGATGTCGCATATCGCAGAGACGGGGCAAGCCGTGGCCTTTCTTCCTATGTCATTCAAAAGCTCCGCCTACCGACCGTATTCGTGAACGTAACCCTTTTTAAACGAACGTCGGTGTTGCTAGCGGCGTTGTCACGCAAAAAATGAGCGTTACGTAATCTTAACATGACGTCACTAAGTTTGTATTGCGCGGAAGCGGCGAAACACCCGTGCCTCCGCGCTAGCTCGACTCCGACGACGACGGTAGGACAGCAGCGCTCTGCTCTCTTTTGCTCTCTGCCAACCTTCACTGGGGGACGGAAGGGGGACTGAGAGTTACGGAGAGAAAACTGAACGTGGAATTTGGTGAGTTGTGTAAAGTGTGCGGTGCTAACTTCACCGCGCGGTTTTCAGTACTGACTTGTGTTGAGACGCGCTTGATT